ATAATTACTAGTTTTGAAAATAAAAGTACAGTAATACCTCAACTTATGCAATTTTCAAATCTCATTGATTTGTCTTTTGTTTGAGTGCCACGCGACTCTTGATTACTCCCCCTCATACTATTGTTCAGCTTACATGTTCAGACGTGTTGCAAGGAATCAACACACAGCTACAATTTATTTTGTGTTATTTATTTCTGTGTTTGTTATATCTACGGAGACTGAGAGACTCTATGTGGTGATTTCTAGTAACCATTAACGAATCAAATAATGAGATAAGATTAATGAGAACATTTATTAGCTTACATACATCCGACTTGGATTTTACACAAATTGCAAAATTATACCCCGACTTATGCGAATTTGACCTACGCGGTTATCGCTCTGTCCCATCTATCGCGTCAGTTTGGGGTATTACTGTATAAATATTTTGAAATATAGAAATGACTACCTTGATTAGAATCAAAACATATAAATGTTTCTAATCAAATGTTAGAACTAGATTTTTATCAAGCTACAATATTCGACATGGCTTAATTAGCCATATTGTAACTCAATAAGAATATGGCTGTATCTGTGGATTAGAATTAAAACAATTGCAAAGTTTTTAACTTAAAGTTAAAATAACTTTTTTATCTGTAAAACCTACAAGTTTTATTTCTACCATATACTTAAAACATTCTCAAAAGGTTATTATTATTTACAATCCTGTTTGCAATACTACCTTGCAAGAGATATAAAATAAGAATTTAAACAATGTAATTACATCAGTCATATCAGAGTTGTGTTTACTATGAAAATTAAAAGAATGCAATTTCTCAATACTCTCAGTTTTGAACAAACAAAAATATTTTATAAATAGCTAACATTATTCTGCAACTTCCGCGACTTGAATTTTTACTTATTTAAATTATTGAATTTGTCTTCAATAACTTTTATTATTATTATTATTATTGTTATGTTTTGTGAGTTATACTAGGTTCACACCGGTGGCTGTGTACTATGCCGGACCAAAGTCAAGGCATAGCAACCAAAACAAACCTAAAATTAAAGAAGTGTGTCAATGTGTGTGTCTGTATTCAGAAATTTCCTAACAATGTGGCATGTATTCAATATAATGGCCTTCTATAGTGTGATGTATGTATTTCTACTCAATTGTAATGTTCCCAGGCTTTTGTGTAGTGTGTGTGGTATCATACCTGTACAGGAGAGAAAGACAGGTACAATAAGCACCCTATCCATCCTCCACAGATGCCTTATTTCCTGGGCGAGTTCTGTGTACTTGCTAATTTTT